TAATCTAGTACAAGACGATAACTTGCATAATAAGCTCAATAAGACTACGTGGAACACCAGAGAAATTTATGAAAATTCAGAGAAAATAGATGTTGGAAAAATCAGTAAAAAAATAATCTAACAAGAAAATAGCAAAGGTTATTCAAATCAATGTCTCAATGCTCAAACAATACTTGGCATAGTTCCATTAGCTCCTAAAGATGGTTACACAATAGCACTTTCTTTTCAATTTCCTGTAGTTAGACACAGGCATCAACAGGTGGTGCCTCTGAACTTCACTAAATATCAAAATCATAATATTACTGAAAATTACATGAAACAAAATAAGATCAATGAAAACAGTGTCCCACAAATTCCAGTTTTGAAGTAACAAAATCATGTCAAATAAATGAGGAAAAATAATAATAGATATGCCAGTGAAGATAACTACATGAAATGGTACAAAGCCGCAAACAATGGGAAGCCATTTGTGTTTGGTCCACTTTCCCCTCAAAATGTCATAGAGATATGAAGTTAATTAAAAAGAGATCAACAATGTGTCAAGGAATGTCAATTGATACAGATTGATGCAACAACGGAGAAAATGATGTGATGAGTGGCAACAAATGTTTGAGAAAGAGACCCAACATTTGGTTGTTGAGAAAAAAAATTCGAACCATCTTAATTCTTTCATGTTTTCCATTTCTTGTTCATAGCTTGTAGTTATAGAAGACTCTACATCCATTTCTCAAGAATCTAAAATTTATTCACTTGAAGATGTTAAAGATGAAGACTTGTATACTTTTGATGGAATCCGGGATGGGTCTTTGTTTTTAGTTCCATCGAATGAAGATCATTATATCATTTGTCACTTAACTTGTATCAAAGGAGTTATTTGGTAACACTGCTATTTTTTTATGACGGAAGATTGGTTCCAAAAGTGAAGATTTCAGAATTTGGTCAATTGTGTGCACGTAAAGACCTAACTGCGAAATTAGCAAAAGTTTTAGAATCAAATTATAATTTCTAAAAATTTTAGGGACTAAACATTAATTTTTGTAGTTATCTTTCTTGGGGCTGGCAATGGTCGTATGTTTCCCTAATAAAGGTTACAAAAAGCTTAGTTGGTTTAATTTTGTAAGGCTAATCTGAGGAATTTTGGTATTGATTTGATGAAGAACGAGTGAAGTTCTTTCGGGTCAATCTTGGGGATTAACTTTGTTATGCATAAGCTTGAATTTGGTTTCTTGCAAATTGTATGGCTACCCTTGTTCGAGGTTTGGTGCTTTTCAACTTGGATCCTGAGTTCGTGATCCTTTTGGATCCAATCGACGCATTTCCATCGCAAGCTGGAGATTTTGTTAACAAGTTCTAATAAGGTTCATTCTGAAAACACTTCTCCATTCTTCTTATCTACCTGGTGAATGTTGTTTAGTGTTGAACCACTTTCCCAAAAGAAATTTTTATAAACCTACTTGAAACTAATAGCTAGTGGTAAGCAGGTTCATTCCACAGAAATGGCAGTCAACCACTCAAAATCTGATTAAAGTGTACAAAAGAAAGAAAATGAGTTGAACAGATTGTCACTTGGGAGAGTGAGAATAGTCACTTGCCAGAGTGAAGAGGCAGAAGGGTCAATCACTTTCCTACCTTTATGATCCAGTTTTGATTCAATATTCCTATAGTGTATGATTAGTTGTTCGATCAGGTACTTATATTCTTTATAATTCCTTCCAAACAGAATAAAAGAGTCCTAAATTATCTAAATCACCCACCCTCCAGTCAGAGTAATTTTTTTAATCTAAGTCATTGAGTTCTTAAGCCCTCTTTGATCGCCTATGCCATTCACCTAACTTTCGTTGAAGTCTGGAACTGCAGGGTAGATTTCCTCAATTGTGATGTACTAGATTAAGCAGTTCTAAGGTTATGCTTCCCCTTCCAGATTTTCATAACCATGCAAGCACATTTAATTAAGTGGCAAAGTTAATTAAAAGGTTAATTAAATCACTTATCTAGCCACAACACCTCATCAAGAAAACTAAATGAAAACTTTCACACAAAGATAGTAGGGATTGAATCCTTAACTGAGTTAGATACTCATGTTTATTGAGTTAAACATGAGAGCAATAGAGTACAAAAGATAAGACATAAATCTAGATCAAAAGGTTAGAGGAAAGAAAGGGAAGATGGTAGCAGGGACAGTTTCTGTCTGCTCACTATGGCGAGTGGTGTTTGCCACTTGACAAAGTGACAGCCCGCCTCCTTGTTCCTGCTACCACCACATTTCTGACCTTCTAACTAACTACGTAACTAATATCTTTTAAACTAAATCTAACTACCCCATCTGTTGTTTTTCTACTGCTATTGGTTGGCTATTTATAGAGATTTGGAGAGGTTTGGATTGGTGAAGTTCTAGCCTTCTTTTCAGCACGCAGAGGAGACAGCAAGTTGCAGCAGCCAAAGGCAATTGTTTATTCAGCAACTTGCCCAGCCTTCTCAGGTTAACTCCTTCTTTCTTCAGGCGCAATCAGCCATCTTCTACTCATCATTGCTGCATCTCCTTAGTTTTCTTCTCCGGTGCCTTCTCACCATTTGCAGCCACAAATCTCCATTTCTTTATTCTTTATTCCCCACAGCTCAAATTGCAGCAGTCAATAAGCAACAGCATCAGCAGCATGCTTCCTTCCATCATTGTGTCTGCAGCCCCCAATTCAGTCTGCTTCTACCATTTTCTTCCTTGTTTCCTGGGTCACCTGCTATGCCATTGGTCACACTTCTGCAGCAGCCAATCCATCAACTCAGCAGCAGCATCAGTTGGTAAGTAGTAGAATTGCAATTGCTACTTATCACATATTCTCTCTCTTTCTCTTTTTCCACTTGCAACAGCAACAACTTGCAGTGATGGCAAAGAAATTTCCTTCCTTGGGCACCAAGATTTTAGCTCGTGGCTTCTCTTTGATTGACAGCAGCAACAGCTACTGCAGCAGCAATCTGGCAGCAGGGCAGCTGCCCTTCTTCCTCTAAATTGAGTGTGTTGCTGCATATTCTTCCATGTTGCGATGATCTGCTGCCATTCTTCCTTCCTGAGCAAGGATTTCTCCACTTGCTCCAGCTCTGATCGATCTTCCAATAGCTCAATTTCCAGCAGCTTCCATTCTAGTCCTTTTTGATGTCTTTTTGTGCAATTTGGCCCTCATTTATGTCGATTTTCTACATTGGCCCTCTGAGATACCTGAACTGCAAAATCACCCCAAAAGTAAACTAATCCTAACTAATTGACACTAAATTATAAGTAGAAATGAGTAAGAAATGCATGCTAGAAGGGTATATAAGTAGAAATGACTCAGAGTGAAGAAGTGTTATTTTTTAATTTTCATGGATAAGAGTAATGATAGTGATCGAAAAAGAATGTGGCTGAATGAACAGAAGTAAATGCAACATTGTATCAATGTTAGTCTCAGATTCAAGTCCCTTACTGGACAGATTATACATCGTTGTTCATCACAAAAAGGCAGTATCACAGTTCTTCAGTGCGTGTGTGCATATGTCACAGCCAAAATTCAAGTTTTTACATATCATCCATTCTAAGAATTAACCAATTTAAGAACAAATGGACATTATTGTGATCAGTACCTATTTCATGCATGCCATCAACTAGGGTATTCTAACTGAGATTTTTAGATTCTAAGGACTTCCTCATAGATTCTGCAGCATTATTGGCTGCATCTTATTTCTCCCTCAACCCTTTTTCTCCTTGTCCATATGGCTTTTCTTCTGGATTTTTCCCACTCAGGCCCCTACCCGGAGCATATTTCCACTTAATATAAATTCATAGTGGCTCAGCAACTTAGGGCATTTTACCGAGAGCATATTTCCACTTAAGTCACTGTGGCTCAGCAACTTAGGGTATTCCACCCATAGCATATTTTCACTTACTCTCTGTAGTGATTTCTCACAGTGGCTAAGCAACTTAGAGTAGTTTATTCATTTTTTCTCATATTTCCTCACCAGGTCTAAGGCCTCTCTCTATTTATTTGCCAAACCTAAATACTCAAGGGTATTACTGCCTCATTGGACAGTCTTCCTAACTTCCCTCATTTCAGAATTTTTCTTTTCAGCTCAATTCAACCGCCTACCATTCCCCTTTCCCAAGATTTTTAGGCTTTTGCAGACCACCATGGGCTCTTACAGAGTCTGCCATGATGCGAAGGCTGCCTTAGTCTTCACTCAGGTTTATAGTCACCCCAAGTTTCTGACAAGTGGACTCCAGTATAAGATCACAACAATGTAATTAAGGTTAGCATTAAGTTCAGAACTCTCACTATGGCAAGTGACATATTGTGAAATTCAAAATTTCCCACACATTTTTTAATCATCATAGACTTTTGACATTGTATGTATACAAACTTGTTCATAGTTGCTCACCAAAAATTTTTTTTTTTTCAAAATTTGATCCTGTCAAAACATAAAACATATAACACATACAAATCCCTCCCCCAAACTTAAAATATGCATTGTCCCCAATGCTTACAAAAGAGATGCAGGAAAGAGCAAACACAAACAGTTAGCATGTAATTTAACTGTAATCAGAAAAATCATCATACAAAGTGGACTCAATCTATCCTAAGGACTCTAGATGCATAGGCTTGAAATAGAAAAACACAGAAACAAACCTAATTAAAAGAAACAGAAGATAAAAGAAAAAAAAGAAAAAGAAAGAAAAAGAAAACAGAATACTCCCTTGGGTGATTATAGGTTCTGGAATGGGTGTGGAGGTCCTTCCAGCTGCCATGGGGGTGGTATATCTCCCCTAACATCGGTGTGCAGGAACTGCACATTGGCTCTTTGCATCAATCTTGTGCCCAATACTGGAAAGAACCAGTCTTTCTCCCTTGGATTGTGGACACAGATATGCATCTGTTTCGTGATAACTGCGGCCACATCAATTGGGATGTTGAGGACCAAAGCGTAGAGCATAAGAGCCATCTGAAAGGGCACCTTCTTGCGATGCCTCATTGGCATTATGTGGTGCATATCATGTTGTACCACTGCCTATATTCCGGTTTCAGATCTGAAGCTGGAAAGTACTTGAGTAAGCCATTGCGTTTTGACCACTTTAGCTCTGCAGATCTTGAGCATAGTACATATGGCAATTCATCTTCTGGAGGATCGTCCATCGCTTTATAAGCTCCATCCTCATAGTTGAAATCTGCTTCTGGTAGATGGAGCACCTCCTTGATCGCTTCTATGCTGATGTTGACTACTTGTCCTCTTACAGTGATTTCATCCCTTGGGTCTCCTCTGAGATTGCTGTAGAATTCTCTCACTGCGTTGAGGTTGGACCAGGTAGTGATTGTGCATAATCCTTCCCAGTGATGGAGCACTATTTAGGAATTCGGATATGGCTGCCCCACCATACCTCGCTCCAACAATTGCCTGTCTTTCCCAGTTTCTCCGAAAGAAATTTGCCGCTACTTGGTTCACCAACAGCCCAAATGTGGCTATGTTCTGGATGATGTATCTGTGGGCATCTCGCTCTTCTCTGGACGGCTGCTCCTGTAGATTTGGTGGTATCATAAGCTCCCCGTGTGCTATAACAAGGCCTCTTCTTGCCCTTTGTCTTTCCCCCACCATATTTAGGTTATGGCTTCGGACAGATCTCTGTGGGTAATTTTATGATTTTGGAAGATGGAGGAGAAGGATGATGGATGTGCTGATGGCATTTATGACAATGGGGGTCGTGGGCAGTCAGTTTTTATTGAGACGAGTTTTTATTCCTGACCTCTTCTGACCGCCCATCACATCAAGGAGTCTTTAAAATTGATTTTTCCCTCTTTTTCTTCCATCGTAGTCTTTTTGACCGGATGTTGACTTCTCTATCCCCAGAGTCAATTGGTTTCACTTGCGAGAGTGGTGTGTGACACTCTACAGAGTGAATTTTCTTGTTGTCTCCCTAGAGTGCAAGGTGCAGGGTTGCAAGTTCCCTTTGATTAATCATCTCATTCGTGAAAGCATCTATCACTCGCCCAATTGATACGACAAATCAATGTTCATTGCTGGTGTTTAGATAGTCAAACTGAAATATTGCTGTTCTGATGACATCATAGTCAGCAATGCACTTCAGGTTAATCATCCACACTGTCTCCACCTGAAAGTTTCTGATAAGAGTGCCACCACTCTTTCTGATTGCCACTAAACAGATTGATTAATTAGCCAAAATATAATTGAAACAAAACTAAGAAGAACAAAATAACTTACCTTGGGTTGCCTCCCAAGCAGTGCATTGGTTTAACGTCTCATGCCAGACTAATTGGCACTCCCTACTTAGGTTCCTTTAATTGCAACACCTCTTTGTGCTGCAACTCAGCCTTCTGATCTGTGCTGTGTGCTTCCCTTCTCTTGGGATTTTCTAGTGTGTCACTAGGTAGTGCCAACAGGTCTGTCTGGTATCCTCCTTGCCATCTGTGCAACCTGATTTTGCATATCTTTCACAGTTGCATCAAGACTAGTAAGGACATTACCAACCTTGATCCAATCTTCCTCCTTGACTCTGAATGGTTGAATTTGAAATCCTGGTGGTTGAGCTGATCTCTGGTAGCTTGACAACTGAGTAGTCCAGTTGTTCTGCTGTGGCCTCCAATTGCTGTAATTGTTGAAGCCTCCTCTGTCATTTCCTTGCGACACAAACTGAACTTCTTCCATAGTGGCTTGGCAGGTAGAGCTGGAGTGAGATCCTGTGCAGATGTCACATACATCAACCTTTAGTTTGTTGATGTCAGCTCTTAGCTTTGATATCTCATTGGAGATGGCTGCCATCTATGCTTGCATGTGAGTTGTAGCATCTAACTCCAACACTCCTGCCTTCTTAGCTGTAGCTCTAGGCTCCTTCTGCCATCTGAAATGGTTAGCACACATATACTCCAGTAGCAGGATTGCTTCTTCTACAGGTTTCATCATGAATGCTCTTCCAGATGATGAATCAAGTGATTCTCTAGAGGCTTGTTGCAATCAATTGTAGAAAATGCACAGATCATTAAATTTTTCCCAGACCTCATAAAGAGTCTCTGTCCCATGCTGCTGAAAAGTCATGATGGCTGATCTTAAAGAAGCAGCCTTGACAGGTGGGAAGAATTTTGTAAGTAATTCCAGTCTGAGTCCATTCCAAGAGTTGATTGAATTGTTGGCCAGAGTATCCAACCATTTTGCTGCTAAATCCTGCAATGTGAATGGAAACAGTCTCAAGTAAACCTCGTCCTTGGACAAACCTTGAATCTTAAAGGTCCTGCATAGTCTCAGGAATTTCTTGATGTGCTCATTAGGATCTTCACTAGGCAGTCCATAGAAAGGAAAAGCAGCTTGCATCCATTGAATCATTTGAGTTTTGAGCTCAAAGTTCTCTGCTGCAACATCATTGTACACATTGAACTTTCTTTTCTTGGGATACAAAATAATTTCTTAGCAGTCTGGGTAGAGCTGGTTGGCACTCTTTCTTGAGGTTGATAAGTTGCTGCTACTTCTGCCATCATCTTTTGGTCTTTAAGAACACGAGCAGCAGCTTCTCTATTTTGCAAGGCTTTGGATCTTCTTGTCTTGATTTCAATTTCTGGATCAAAACTTAGCACTCCCGATGAATTGCTTCTAGTCGTAAGCCAGTAATCTAAACACGAAGAATAACAATTGCAAGATTTATGATTTGAGTGAGTAAACTTGATTAAAAACAGAAAACTAAAAAGAACAAAAACAGAACACTAAAATCAGATTCAAGGATTTTTAACGTCATCCCCGGCAGCGGCACCACTTTTGGTGAGTGTTGTTTAGTGTTGATCCACTTTCTCAAAAGAAATATTTATAAACCTACTTAAAATTAATAGCTAGTGGTAAGCAAGGTCGTCAACCGCTCAAAATCTGATTTAAGTGCAGAAAAGAAAAAAAATGAGTTGAACAGATTGTCACTTGGGAGAGTGAGAATTGTCACTTAACAGAGTGAAGAGGCAGAACGGTCAATCACCTTCATACCTTTCTGATCCAGTTTTGATTCAATATTCCTGTAGTGTATGATTAGTTGTTCGATCAGGCACTTATATTCTTTATGATTCCTTCCAGACAGAATAAAGAGTCCTAGATTATCTAAATCACCTACCTTCTAGTCAGAGTAATTCATTAATCTAAGCCATTGAGTTCTTAAGCCCTCTTTGATCCCCTATGCCATTCACCTAACTTTCGTTGAAATCTGGAACCGCGGGGTAGATTTCGTTGAAGTCTGCAAGCACATTTAATTAAGTGGCCAAGTTAATTAAAAGATAATTAAATTATTTATCTAGGCACAACACCTCATCAAGGAAACTGAATCAAAACTTTCACATAAAGATAGTAGGGATTGAATCCTTAACTAAGTTAGATACTCATGTTTATTGAGTTAAACATAAGAGAACAGAGTACAAAAGATAAGACATGAATCTAGATCAAAAGGTTAGAGGAAAGAAAGGGAAGATGGTAGCAGGGACAGTTTCTGTCTGCTCACTATGGCGAGTGGCATTCGCCACTTGACAAAGTGACTGTCTGCCTCCTTATTCCTATTACTACCCTGTTTCTAACCTTCTAACTAACTATCTAACTACTGTCTTTTAGACTAAATCTAACTACCCAATCTTTTGTTTTTCTACTGCTATTGGCTGGCTATTTATAGAGATTTGGAGAGGCTTGGATTGGTGTACTTCTGGCCTTCTTTTCAGCAGGGCAGAGGAGACAGCAAGTTGCAGCAGCCAAAGGCAATTGTTTATTCAGCAACTTGCCCATTGTTTATTTAGCAATTGTTTATTCAGCCAAAGGCAATTGTTTTTTCAGCAAGTTGCTGCCTTCTGTGGTTAGCTCCTTCCTTCTTCAGCCGCAATCAGCCATCTTCTACTCATCATTGCTGCTTCTCCTTAGTCTTCTTTTCTGGTGCCTTCTCACCATTTGCAGCCACAAATCTCCATTTCTTTATTCTTTATTCCCCACAGCTCAAATTGCAGCAGTCAGTAAGCAGCAGCATCAACAACATGCTTCATTCCATCATTGTGTCTCCAGCCCTCAATTCAGCCTGAATCTTCTGCACTTTTCTTCCTTGTTTCCTGGGTCACTTGCTATGCCACTGCTCACCCTTCTGCAGCCGCCAATCCATCAACTCAGCAGCAGCATCAGTTGGTAAGTAGCAGGGTTGCAGCTGCTGCTTATCACATATTCTCCCTCTTTCTCTTGTTCCACTTGCAACAGCAACAACTTGCAGTGATGGCAAAGCAATTTCCTTCGTGATAAAGACGTGTGCCTGGTGATAAAGACGTTGAGCTGGTGATAAAGACGTGATAAAGACTGTGTCGTCGTCCGATTGTTGACCATTACACTGATCTAGAAACATCGACAACTTGGTCAATTAGATTACTAAAAACAACATCAAGCTGAAGTGCCTGGTGATAAAGACGTTGAGCTGCACATCGGACGACGACACAATCCTCGAAGCTAAGGTTTCCAAAACCTAGTTTCCCAATTTGAGTTGGTTTTTCATTCTAATTAATTTATTTTTTTGTATTACCAACCACACCTTGTTCGAATAGATAGTTTTTGGTCTTTTAATAATTTTTAAATAGTTGTGGCATGTGCAATTATTCGACTAAGAGTTATTTTTAATTTTTAGGAAATTTCTATAAGCTCAAAACCTAATTTAACTTGTAATATGTTTGAAGTTGATTTGATTTAGTTTTTCCTTAACAAAGGGGTCTTGGTCGTAATTTTTACTGGACATTATTACTGATTTATTCATTATGTAACATAGAGAAAACTCCTTTTTATTATGATATCTTCGAGATTGTCTGGCTTATTGCAAGAACTAAGGTTTTTGCATTAGGTAACGAACATGTATCCAAATAGTGTCTTTATTTGTGGAGTTCTTTCAATGTAGTCATGATTTTTAGGCGTGGGTTGCTAGAGTCATTTGGCCTTTCGGTTATATCAACATCACATTCTTCTTTTCTAAGCTTTCCATCAATTTTGGCTAGGATTTTGGCTCAATCCTTCTTTGTGATTCTTTGTGATCTTTGGTTATTGGGGAGCAATAAATCAAGTCATTTGCCAATTTCGTGTGTTATCACTACCCTTCACTCTTGTTGAAGTGGGGAATTCAACTTATGATCTTTTTTAAAAAACAAAGGTGTTTCTACCACAAAACCACCTCTAAATCTTGGTAAGCCTCATTTACTCTTTTCCAAAATGGTCATCATCTACTTGCCAAGATGAACATCTTCACTTTTTTGGAATTCATAAATTGAAATATGTTCTCTCCGGATAAACCCTACAAACTTAGATTATGTGATGGCTTCCAAACTCCGGTGTTATTACGTGATAGAAATTGGGGTCGTCCCGATCAATCGAACGACCCTTTAACAAATGAGAAGAGCATGTAAGTATTTTTTTGATGCGAGGAAAGATTTTTTTACTGTCGGAAAATTGGAGAAATAGCAAGAATTTTTAGATAAAGTGGTTGAATTTGGTAGCAAAGAAGAAAAAAAGTTATGTCAAGAGATCTACAATTATATTGAGAGCAAAGTTACGGGATATGGATACAGAACTTAAGATGGACTCTTGATAAATCAATTATTTGCAATGATTGGTTTGAAAGCATCAAAACCAATGGTTATTGTTGATGTATATGATATGGTGCAACTTCTATTTCCTCGGCCAGACAAAAGTCTAGATCAACCGGAATTTTCTCTATCTTTAGAAACTATTATGACATGTCTCCATTTGGGAAAACAGAAGCATGGGGGATTGGACAATGTGTGAGCAACAGTAAAACTATTGAAGCACCTCGGTCAAGAGCTGTTCGACGAATTTGCAAATGGGGTTATTTTTAAAAATTAATATACTGTGATGCAAAAAAGATCAGCGGAATTTGTTATGTGGGCTAGTGTCTCCACCAAGACTCGTGTTGCGCACTTCCTGATAGTTGAATGCTTTTTTTTTGTCATGTGCTTGCATTAGAACGACTGACTTCTCATTAAATAAATGATAAAATAACTGCACTACAATGTAGATAATGGCAATTGTGTGCTATGCTGAAACTACATAGAAACGTCTATTCATCTTTTTTTCATCATATGCATTTGCAAGTAATTGTGGAGCGGGCTTATGAACTTGCTAAAAGTGGAGTCGCTTACAATTTCTTCTGAAAAAGAAACAAGATGAAACATCAAGTTTTGCTTACAACTATATCAACAGAGATCTACCATACATGGAGAAATATGAAACTTGCCATTTTTATGGTAGAGTAGGACTACATTAGTCGAGTTGTAGTGACTAAAATTTTACATAAACTACAATGGATACTAATGCTGCTGTGGGAAGATGAAGTCGAATAAACGTAGCTATTTTAAAGAGACTGGATTGTTGGTTTAAAAGTACAAATAGTGAAAAGGAAAAGATTCTGTTTTAATGACAAATCTGAAAACCAGATTGTGTAATGCTAGGTAAATTAGTACCTTTGTGAATGGCAGGATATAAGAAGTTGGCTGGAATTTTGAGTTGAGCAATATAAAATTTAACCATTTACCAAAAAAATAAACAAAATGTTACTCTACTATTCTGTTTTTGTCATCTTTGTAGAGTTCCACTTTAGTGCTACCTTATAGGATGTTGTCTTTAAAACAAGCATAAAATTATGTTCCTTTATGACTGACGAAAACATTTTCGACACTTTCCACCAAAGATTGATTAATATAAGAAATAGAGATATCATTTCCGATTTCTTACATCGTCGGACTTGTTTTCACATTTCCAGTAATACAGTTTAGCAATAATATTTTCTTTCTATAAAAAGAAACTCAAAAAAAACTATCCATTAAGATTTTAAAAAAAACATTACGAGATTAAATTTTTTTATATATTTAAAAATTAATCCTATTGGAAATTCAAGATAAGTTAAAACTTCATGACTGAACACGTGCTTACTTTCATTTAAGTGTTCTTCCTCTCAACACTAGATTATCCAACAATACAAATCAAACAACCAAACTTTGCCAAATCAACTTTGGTAGATGAACTACTATTTTATACATAATTATCTATAAATGTAAAGACTCCAAATCCATACCAGATTCATGCAACCACATAATTGATATATATATATATATATACATAAATCAAACAGCCAAACTTTGCCAAATCAACTTTGGTAGATGAACTACTATTTCATACATAATTATCTATAAATGTAAAGACTCCAAATCCATAGCAGATTCATGCAACCACATAATTGATATATGTATATATATATATATGTACATTAATGTAGTAATTGAACACTTTAACGATTGATATCATATCTTGGTCTTGATAAAGATTTTGAAGTTGATGTTAAGATGACTATCTCCCAAGGTTTTCGCATGGATCCACAAAGATCGTTGGTACTTGAACACAAACACACTGCCAAAATTTTTTCATACTCTTTTTCATGACTTCGACAATTCGATCGGAGACTGAATACCTTCCGACATTGTTTGCTTTTTAACAATGTCACTCAGTATGTTCTCTTGAGATACTTTGGAAGGGCTAAATTATCCTTAAATTAGCTTGATTTGGGATGATTTTTGTAGTACTTAAAACCATCAATACAGCATTGAAATGATTGCTTTTAATTTTCAGGTTCTAGCTAACCAACTAAAAGAAAAAGATGGATGAAAACTTGAACTCAATAACATAAGCCATATAAAAATTATTGATGATGATAAAGTAATGCGACATCTATAACGAGGAAACATGAAGAGGGAAATACTCACTTAGTGTTAAAATAATACTTTAAAAAAAAGGACAACAAAAGTCATCCGAGATTTTATGATATAAGAAAAGGAGAAGGAGATGACAAATCATTAACTGGTATTGAAACGATTGTGAGGTATAGCATTGAAAAATTTCAAGTCTTTGAATTCAATCATCAAGCACATATTATATCTTCAGATCCAATTATCATAACTATTTAATCACATATGCTCAAAGTATAATCACTCGGAGAAAACAAAATCCATTCAAATAAAGTCATCATGGACAAATATAAAGCAAAAAGATTAATTGTAAATTTTGAATGACAATAGTAATTAACGAGACATCATCAGAAAGGACAAAAAGTATCTGAGATTTTATGACTAAATAAAAAAAAACTAAGATGGCTAATCACTAATTGGTATTAAGACAGTTGTAAGGTATAGCCTAGAATGATTCAAGTTATCGAGTTCAATCATAAAGCACATACAATATCGTGAAATTTAAATATCATAACTATACAATCACATATGCTCAAGGTATAATCACTCGGAAAAAAAAAATCCAATCAAATAAAGTCATCATGGACAGTTATAGAGCAATAAGATTAAATCATAAATTTAAGAAGATATCAAAGCAATTGCTAGGTTGTTATTGGGACCGTTGGATGATTTACTGTAAGGAACGATGAGAATTTGGGAAGATTCGTCACGAATTTGTGTTGGAGAAGCATGAATTCCATCTGTTCCTTTCGCTTGAGTAGAGATTTGTATTGAGGATGAAGTTGGGAGGAGCCCAACCCCAAGATAAAGTGTCTATAGAATTTTAGGCTTAGGGCATCTCCAACCCTTTGCCCCTCTAAACTTTGGATTTAGAGTTACTACAATGAAATCTCACTACGTTTACAGTTTAAACAGTGTCAGTATCTCCAACCCATTCTCTTTATAAAATCCCTCTAAAAGGAATATTATTAGTATATTCTATTTTTTTTTTGTAAAATTAACTTTTGTTATTTGCATTTTATTATATTTTATTACTAAAATAAATTACATTTAAAAAATTTTACAATTTCGCAAATGATCGTTAATTTAAACATAATTAGTAATATTAATCATTAAATTTAAATTACTGAATTTTTACGTAATTAATTATAGTAATTTTTTCACCATACATTATATCAATTAAATAAAATTACATATAGTAAAATAGCAAAAATATTTGGCTTGATGATAATAAAAAAACACCATTACTAATATTACATTTAAATGATTAAAAAGATACTAGAAATGCAACATTACAAATATTACTTTAACAACAACACACACATGAAAATACAAATGGATATTTTGTAGAGAAAAAAAACATAACAGCATTAATTATTACTATGATTATTGTTCCCACATATGCTCAACCAAAGCATCACAAAATTCAAAGTGTGCCTTCTTGTTTCTGATTTTTCTGTGTTGTGCTAGAAACTGTTCAAAGCGGTCTCGCTCATGGGGCATGGACGTAATACTTGAAGCAGAAATTTCCACTTTATCTCTAATTGGTATATTGAGATCACATTCATCTTCGATAATTTTGATGTGCAGAATAATGCATGTTTTC